CCGTCTCCAGGTCCCGCATTCCTTTTGAAATAATATAAAATGTAAGAAAAAATCTAGCGCTCTCTCTCTGTGTGAAATAGCACTGAAAAAATCTAGTGTTCTCTCTCTTTCACCTACTAAGGACTTAAAAGATGTGGCTTCAACTGCACCACAACAGCCTTCTGATGACAGAGTTCTGTTCCTAAACCCATCAGGGAAGAGCTGAAACCACATATCCTCAGAGAGCACTAGAAGGCAGCTTCCATAAAGATTAATTTCCCATGACTATACAATTCCCATCTGCTGTAATAGATGTTTCCTCAAGACAACCCACCAGTCACTACTCATTGAAAAGCAGTCTGCAGGGTGACGCCTGTGACTCAGTGAGTAGGGCGCTGGCCCCATATACCAAGGGTGGCGGGTTCAAACCTGGCCCTGGCCAAATTGCAAAAAAAAATAGACGGGTATCCAGCTACTAGGGAGGCCGAGGCAAGAGAATCACCTAAGCCCAAGAGTTGGAGGCTTGGTCCAACTTGGAGTGACGTCACAGCACTCTACCAAGGGTGACAAAGTAAGACTCTGTCTCTTAAAAAAAGAAGAAGAAGAAGAAAAGAAAAGTCTGCAGGATGTACTCATGAAGTTTTCAACTTGGAGATTAAATGTTTCAAGCTTAGTCCGTGAAATCTTCCTGCCCTCACTCCTTATTCAGTCCAGATTTTCAGACCAAATTTCCCATTTCCGACTATGATAGGATGTCGTTGACTCTCTATAGATATGACTTCAGGTAACAAGTTTCAAAGGGCAGGGTCTGAGCAAATGCCAACAGTGTGGATGGGATGAGTGACTAAACCCAGGCAGAAAGTACACTGGCCCAGTTTCCCTAAATGTCTTATAAGTTACTGGAAAACAGCCTTGCCTACCCAGAGAAGTTTGTATATATGCATAGAAGATTTGTATATATGTGGAGTTCCTGGTTGAACTTGTTCTGAACTCATGACTTAAATAGACTTCTACTGCTCTATTACATTCACTAGGCAAATCTCACCAGCACATCTCACCACACATGGTTCATTTTTAAATATCCCTGACTCCCACTCCACCCCCAGTCCCATTGGTTTGGGACTGTCTTAAAAGAAGTGCTTGATGTTTGTCAACTTTAAATCTACATTTAGGCCAGGCATGGTGGCTCATGGCTGTAATCTTAGCACTCTGAGAGGCCAAAGCAGAAGGGTGGCTTGAGCTCTGGAGTTCAAAGTAATTACTAGGTGTGGTGGCAGACACCTATAGTTGCAGCTACTTGGGAACAAGCTCAAGAGCCACAGTGTTCCAGGGGAGGCTTCACCCAGGGTCAGGGCAGATGAAAGAATACTATAGGTGAGGGGTTGGTCAGAATGGAAAGCTCACTGCCCATGTGACAGGAGAAATCTCCCTATCCCTAAAGCTGAGGTTCATGGATAAAAATGCCTCACACCCAGTTGCTGCTGGTCAGCAGCCAAGCCATGGCCCTTGCTCCCTGTGGACAGACTCCCAACATTCCCAGAGCTCAGTGGGCTCCCAGAGTCCAGTGACCACTTCCTGATGTTTCCTGGCCTTCCAAGTTAGGTCTTGGAACTGGTGGACCACTTTGCTTCAGAAACCAGGAGGGCTTTTGTTTCTGTTTTGTTTTGAGACAGGGTCTGGTTATTTTGCCCACGCTGGTCTTGAACTCCTGGCTCAAGTGATCCTCCCCACTCGGCCTCCTGAGTAACTGGGATTACAGTACATGCTGCTATGCCTGGCTATAAACCTAGAGATTTTCAGGGAAACACTGTGTTCCGTACAAACTGCCTCTTTTCTGGCCACTGCTTCTGAAACTCTTTAAATAGGAACATATAGTATTTCACCCAACATCCCCTCACCTAGTGATCCATCCACTCACTTGTCCATAAGGAAGAAACTAGAATCTCTCTCTGGTGGAGACAGGATCGTTAAATCAGCTGAGAAGAACTTAGTTTTTATTCACTAGAACCAGGTAAGTTTTACTATTGCTGCACAAAAGCACCAGCTACATTGTGGAAATTTCCTTTTTGGTGTGTATGTTTATTTCTTTCAGGAAATACACTCTTAAGATACTTCCTGACTCTGGTCAGTATTGCCCCTTCCTTTGAAATAACTTTTCAAAACAATTAAAACCTATGTAATCTTCTTTTATGTTTCATTACAAAATGTTTGCTACTAGTATGCAATGAAAATTCAGGGCTTTATAAAGTTGACATTTTAAAAAATTGCCAGTCCTACTACTCTTGAAATCCTACAACCATCTGTGAAAGGCCAGGTTGTTTAAAATATTTTACCAAGCTCTGACTCTGAACTTTTAAAGAGCTATACTCCAAGACAGAAGAAGAGAGAAAACAAAGCTAGATTTCCTTTCTAACATCCATGGTTGATGCTCATGATATTATTAAGTTCTTTCAAAGTTAATCATTTGAACTCCAAAATATAGTTTTGAAAATCAACAATGGTTTTTACAGGAATAGAAAATCCACTGTAGGGTGGTGGGCTTGAACCTGGCCCCAGCCAAACTGCAACAAAAAAACAGCTGGGCATTGTGGCGAGCACCTGCAGTCCCAGCTACTCCGGAGGCTGAGGCAAGAAAATCACCTAAGCCCA